GTATACTGCCAATATACTGAATTCATTTATCAGTTACAAAAGTTTTTTCATGGATTCTTTTGGGTATCTGTGTATATAATCTTATCATCTGCAAGTACCAATTAATAACGAGAATCTATAGGCATCTCAAGCGGCTCACCCAAAAGCCAGCTTTTTGTTTCATTGATTTTTATTTTTTAATTTTTTTTTCTTGAGAGTTTTTTGCTATAGGTTGCATGCACTTGCCAGAAAGACAGAGACAGAGAGACAGAAAGACTCCAACTACTGGTCCCGATTTTTCTTTTTTGTATAGTTTTTTTCTCTAATTCATTTGTTTTAACTCTATTTTCTTCTGATATTTATGGGATTTTTTGTTGTTGCTGCTTTTCCAGTTCCTTGTGATGTATTGTCAGGTTTTAGGGACAAGTTAGCGTCTCTAACTAATTTGATGCCTTTTGATTTAACTCTTTTGTCTGACTACATTGCATAGAACTTCTAATACCTGTTGAAAAGGAGTGGAGAAACTGGAAAGCTTTGTCTTCTACTTTTTAGTGAAAATGCTCTCAGCTTTTCATCATTTAGTATGTTAGCAGTGGATTTGTCATATGTGACTTTTATTTGTTATTATTAGTTTTAATTTGACCAGAGAGAGAAAAAGGGAAAGTGAGAAAGCAAGCTACCAGGTCTGGGACTCGAACCGCATCTGTCATGTGGGAATCTAGCACCTTAGACACCACACCACCTGCCTGCTCAGTATGTGTAATCTTTTTAATAGGCCGCGGATCCAATTTGCTAGTATCTTGTTGAGGATTTTTACACCTGTATTCAACAGGGTTATTGGGTATGTAGTTTTCTTTTTCTTTTACTGTTATGTCCTTGTATGCTTTTGATATTAACGTGATAGAAGCTTATAGAATTAGTTTGGAAGTGTTCCTTTCTTTTGGATCTTTAGAAATATATGAGGAGAGGGAAGAGTAGGTTGCACGGTGGTTAAGGCACTGGACTCCCAGTATGAGTGCCCCAAATCCTGAGAGGAGAATGGACAAGGGATTGCGGCTTGGCTACCCACCTCTGGAGGGGATAGTAAGGGGAGGGGTTGATTTCTTGCTTTCTGTTTCTGGCAAGAGCACATGCCCTATCACAAAAAGCTCTTCAAAAAAAGAATAAAAAAAGGTAAGAAAGTAAAGAAAAGAAATATATGAGCAGAATTGAGGTTAACTCTTAAAGTTTTATAGAATCCAGAAGTGAAGCCATTGGGACCTAGGCTTTTCGGTGTGAGGAGACTGTTGATTCGTTGTTACTGATACATGTAGGCTTTCTGCTTCATCTTGAGTCAGTTCTTGTATGTGTCCATCTCATCCAAATTTTCTAGTTCTTGTCACTAGTAATATTCAAGTCTGCTATAATATTAGCAGTTTCATTACTGATCTTAGTTATCTGATTCCTTTCTCTGTTTTTTCTTTTGAGAGATTTTTGCTATAGAGTGCATACTCACCAGAGAGACCGAAAACAAGAAATCATCTCCTGGGGAAATGGTCATGCCACAGTCCCTTCTCCTCAATTCTCTTCTCTGGATTTTAGGTACACCTGCATACGTGCCCGTTTGAGTTGTAAGCCACTGGATCAAGGACTTGAACCACGGTTGAGTATGTGGGAGTCTAGTGATGCAACCATTATGCTATCTACTGGTCCCTCCTTTCTCTGTTTTTCTTCAGTAGTCTGGGAAATGGTTTTGTCAATTTTATTTATTGTCTGAAATATTTTTTGTTTCATTGGCCTTTTTTTGGGGGGGGTTACAGCTCTTCTGTTTCCTTTATTTCAGCTATAATTTCTATTATTTATCTTCTCCTGATTTTTTTGTTGTTGCTTTTCTAGTTCCTTGTTATACATTGACATCTTTCTGCTTTTTTCTTGTGAACACTAATTGCTGTGAATTTCCCTCTAATGACTGCTTTCTCTGTGTCTCAAAAATTTTGGAAAGTTGTGTATTCATTATCTTTGATTTCAGTCTTTTTATTTTAATCTTAATTTCTATAGTAGTTTTTTTTTTTTTTGGAGAGATTTTTGCTATAGGGCACGTACGCTCGCCAGACAGACAGAGACAGACATAGAGACAGAAAGCGAGAAATCACCCCCCAGGGGGGATGGTCACGCCGCAATCCCTTCTCCTCCATTCTCCTCTCGGGATCTTGGGCACGCACGCACACGCGCCCGGCGTGAGTTCTAAGCCACCGGGTCCGGGACGCGAACCGTGGTCGACTACGTGGGAGTCCAGCGACATAGCCATTACGCTAACTGCTGGTTCCCAATTTCTATAGTAGTTTTAAAGTCATTCAGGAGTGCCTTGTTTAGTTTCCATATTGTGTGTTTTTGAGGGCTCTTTTGTTGATTTTAAGTTTTATACTATTGTGTGGCTTGAAAAGATGGTGGATCTAGTTTCTGTAGTTTTCAAATTTCTAAAGGCTTTTTTTGTGTCCTATAGTATGGTGATCTTAAAAAATGTTCCACGGGAAGATGAAAAAGAGTCTATTTTATAGTTGTTGGGTGAAATGTTCTATAGATGTCTCAGGTCCATTTGGTTTATGTTATCCATTAGTTCCTGTGTCTCTGTGTTTATTTTTTTGTTTAGATGAGCTGTCTAGTTATGAGAGTGGTGGTGTGAGACTCTCCAGCAATTAACGTGTTGCAACCAACCTTTTCCTTTAGATCTTGCACCTGTTCTTGCCTTTTTAGAGAATTATTTAACTTTATTTATTCATTTATTTTAATTTGACCAGAGAGGGACAGAGTGAGAGACAGGAAGAAAGAGAAAAAATGAGAAAGCAAGCTGCCAGGTCCAGGACTTGAACCATGGTTGGCCATGTGGGAGTCCAGCCCCTTAACCACCATACCATTTGTGGCTCCTTATTTTATTTTATTTTATTTTTTTTACGATAGGGTACGTGCACTCACCAGAAAGAGAGACAGAAAACGAGAAATCGCTCCCCGGGGGGATGGTCACACCCCAATCCCTTCTCCATTCTCCTCTCGGGATCTTGGGCATGCACGCTCATGTGGCTGGTATGAGTTTAAACCACCAGGTCTGGGACTCAAACCACGGTTGACTACATGGAAGTTCAGCGACATAGCCATTACCTGAACTGCTGGTCCCTGTGGCTCCTTAGTTTTTTAAAGAGGTTTTTCCCTTAGGGTGTATGCGCTGGCTGAAGAAAGAGAGAGAAAAAATGGGAAGGAAAGTGAAAAATCACCCTCCAGGGGGATGGCTACACTGCAAGGAGAAGAGTCTCCTCCATTCTCCTTCCAGGATCCTGGGCACAAACTTCTGCCACCGCAGTCAGTTATGTAGGAGTCCAGCGACGTAACTGCTATGCCATCTGCTCGCCCCAAGTGTATAAATATTTACAATTGTTTTATGTTGGCGAATTCTTTTAATACTGTAGTGTGTCCTTCTTTTGCCTTTTTTTGCCATGTTTATCTTGAAGTCTTATTTTATTGGATATTAATTTTTCATCTTGGACCTTTTTTTGGGTTCTGTTTGCATGGCATGACTTTCCATTGCTTCACTTTCAGTCTGTGTATGTCCTTGTAAATGATTCTTCTACTGTAAGGATGGCAATATTTCCTTCTTTTTTTTTTTTGGAGAGGTTTTTCGCTATAGGGCTCGTGCACTCGCCAGACAGACAAGAGAGAGACATAAAGACAGAAAGTGAGAAATCACCCCCCAGTGGGGATGGCCACGCTGCAATCCCTTCTCCTCCTTTCTCCCCTCAGGATCTTGGGCACGCATGCACACGCGCCCGGCGTGAGTTTTAAGCCACCAAGTCCGGGACGCGAACCGCGGTCGACTACATGGGAGTCCAGTGACATAGCCATTACGCTAACTACTGGTTCCCAATATTTCCTTCTTTACAGACGTTAGGAAATAATTTCCAGTGTCTGGTTTGATGGAGATATAGTCAATTAGGAAATGCTATTTTTCTACTGTTGCAGAAACATGGCAAAGATTAGATGCTTAATATTGGCACTTTATAAACATAGTCATATTAAGTTGCTTGAATCTAAGAACGAGGATGTTGTTAGGATCCTCGTTCTTAGAATAGCTCATGGTCATTGTCTTTCACCTTTATATTATTTCACCTCTTTGATTATTGTTCTATAATGAAAATAGTTGTAAAAATTCTTAGTGAACAAGACATTCTAAGAATATTGTTAGTATGCATGTGAGAATAGGAAATTATGAATAAAAATTATAACTTAATTTTTACTCTTTCAAGTTGAAAATACCAGTATTTTGTTTTGATTTTTTCTTTATGCCTGTATATTTTCATATTTAAAATTAGTAGATGCTTATACCCTCATGAAATATTTAGAGAAATGTAAATAACAACCCATAGTCCTAGTTCTTATGGATATGTTAATATTTTACGTTTTCTTGTGAATGGTATTTAGGTGGTTGATGTGTCAGTTTCTTAGGGGGGAGTGGACAGTAGCCTTGAGAAAGATTAACTGCCTGTTACTGGGAAGTTCAGAAAGTTTTAACTATACAATTGACCCTTCAATAAAGTGAGGGTTAGTAGTACTGTATTCCCCCCAACACACATATAGAGTTGAAAATCTCGTGTAACCTGACTCCTCAAAAACTTAACTACAGATAGCTTATTGACTATTTACTGACAACATAAACTGTATGTATTTTCTGTATTATATTTATCATATACTGTATTCTTACACTAAAGCAAGGTGGAGAAGAAATACTAAGAAAAGGAAGACAAAATACATGTGTCGTACTGTACTGTATTTTCCAATATATTTATTGAACTAAATCTGCTCGTTAAGTGGACCTGAGCATTTCAGACTATTGTTCAAGGGTCAAGTGTATTTAGCATTTTGATTGGTTCATACATTATTAAATGGCTGTTTTTGTCATTTGAAGAGTTAGAACATGTTCATTTGAACTTAGAAGGAATCAAACTTTTTGTTGAGATAAGTGACGAAAATGATTATGGCTCTTCTTTTAACAGGTATTTGTTTGCTTATGGAAAGGTTGTAAAGTATATAATACTCCATCAACCAGTCAAAGTTGGTTACAGAGGCACATGCTGACACACAGTGGAGATAAACCTTTCAAGGTAAGCATATGGATGTGTGTTTTAAAGTTTTTTAAAGTTAAGTTGCCTTGTTTATTAAGGGGCTATATACTTTCATCCTTTGAAAGTTTTATTTATTTTGACATTGCTATAGATGCATAGAATTTCAAGAGTATGTAGAAGTAACGATAATTTAATCCAGCTTTTTTTTTTTTTTTCAATTTGAAGAACAGGAAAAAAGTCTCTCATCAGGTTAGGGTCTTGAAAAGAGCTAGAGGGCAGAGCAGTGACTTAAAGCCGTATCTTTAAAATCAGTCAGCTCTCTTAGTTAATCACATTTACCCACTGCCAAAGGTTTCAGCCTTTTTATTAGCTTGTAATACTGACTATAATTTGAAATAAATATATTGTAAAATATCTAGGGTTTTGATTCCTTGCAGTTTTGAGGCCATACTGCTGAGGTCTTTAGTTGTAAATCACTTTGTTAATAGACATATTTTGGAGAAATCTTCATTTGCTTTTTTAGTTTGCTGTATGATGTGTGCACTTACCAGAGAAAGGGAGAGAAAGGGAACATGAGAAACCTGGATGGGGGTGGGGGTGGCATTGCTGAAATCAGTTCTCCTGTGTTTCCTCTCAGGATTTTGGGCATACATGCACATGGGCCTGGCATAATTTTCAAGCCACTTGGTCCAGGATTTGAACTGCCATGAGAAACATACAATATATCTTTAAAAGGTCATGGAAAATGCAAATTATGGAAAATTAAGCATGGATTTAAAAAATGTTTTGAAGTGGGCTTGTACCAATGTTTAAAGGTTATTATGCAAAGGAAGTCATCCAATGAAGCCAACAGGATTTGAGTCCCTCTGCCAGAAGATTCAAAACAGGCTAGGGGCCAGCAGGTGGTGTGGTGGTTAAGGCACTGGATTCCCACATGGCCGACCGCTGCTGAAATTCAAGCTGGGTGCATGGGTGCGTGTGCCCAAAATACCGAGAGGAGAATGGAGTGAAAGTGATTGCAGCATTGGCAACCCTCCGGGAGATGATTTCTCACTTTATCTTTCTTCATTTCTCTCTGTCTCTCTGGCAAGTGCACGTGCCCTTTAGTGAAAAATCTCTTCAGAAAAGGAAAACAGGCTGAGCACATGTGCCTGTGTAGAATTGGAATGAGTTGGAGAATTGGAGGAAAAGGTTTTGTGGCATGATAAGGCTGTAGTGGAGGGTACTTTTTCTTGTCTACATATATGTATGTATTGTGTTACAAATAAACAAAACAAATTATTTTTTTCACCGTAATAACTTCATTTTTGAATTGCATTTTTCTTTTTTTTAAAGAATTGTTATTTTTTAAAAAATTTAACTTTATTTATTTTAATTTGACTAGAGAGGGACAGAGTGAGAGAGAGAGGGAAAAAATAGTGAAAAAGCAAGCCGCCAGATCTGGAACTTGAAATGCATTCGACCATCTGGGAGTCTAGTGTCCACAACCACTGTGCCACCTGCCAGCCCTTAATTGCTTTTTTTTTTTTAATGATCTTTTTGAAGTCTCTTCATATATCACAGAGATTTAAAGCTTGTATTTAAAAAAGTGATACTTGTTGAAACCATAATGTCTGTTGGAATGTAAATACTTTGCCAGAAACTTCCCTTGGGTTTATTAGAGAATGATGTCATTCTTGTAGATTTTTTTTTTTTGCCTGCTTAATTTTTTTCAATTAGGTCCTCATTAACAGGTTAGAAAAGTTTAAGAAATTCACATTGAGGAGCCAGCAGGTAGCATGGTGGTTAAGGTGCTGCACTCCCACATGCCATGGTTTGAGTCCCAGACCTGGTAGATTGCATGTGTGTGCATGACCAAAATCACAAGAGGAGAACGGAGGACAAGGGGTTG